CACACTCCCTCTCTCTCTCACACACACACACACACACACACACACACACACACACACACACACACACACACACACACACACACACACACACACACTCAGCCACTGACAAAGAACACTGTTTCAGCCTTGAATCAAATGCCAGTGAGCCGATATGGTCCTACAGAACACGTACATACAAATCCTTCCTTGTTTATAGATTATGATTGCATTTGCGCTAATAGACAGTTTCATCAGTAGGTTGTGTCAGTCAGTGGAGAGCTCAACCTCATCTTAATAGATAGAAGTCTACGTCACTGATTATTTCATCTAAGCACTGATCCAGGTTCTGTTTCTGTGTTTCACTGCACAGGCAGTTTAGTTGGAAGCATCAGAATAAACTATAGCTGTATATTGAAACTAATGAGGGTTGCCAGTTTATCCTGAAGTTCCTTTAAATGCCACTAGGTGTCAGCTACAATTACTCAGATTAAATTAAAGTGAACAGTTGAACTCATAACTTCTGTTCATATTTCCAATTAAACAAAACATTACCTTGATTATAAATCACTCTGAATACTTATAAGTTGAATATGAAATCTTGATAGAGATTCAATTGATACCACAGTTATGAATTGGTTTACGGTTTCTTTTTACCTCCTGAATTCTTTTGTCCAGACTTCTGAATGTATAACCTGATGTCAATCCCTCGTTTTTCTCTCCTCGCCCCACTCCTCACTTCCTGTGTTTTGTCATGACTCTCTTTTTCTTCCCTACTATCTGTCCATCTCTCTCGCTCTCATCCTTTTGTCTGTCTTCAGAAGCAGCCCGGCTCGTCTCTTTTTGTCTCTTTGTCCTCTTTCAGACGCTATCAGACTTCAAAGTAGGCAAGATTCATAAAGGAAAAGAGGTAAAAGAGACACTGGTGAGAGTGGGTCAAAGAGAGAGAAGAGGCTGCCACTTCAAGTCAAATGAATCCTCATTAATACCTGTGGTGAGATTATACCACAGAAACGTTATCATACCAAATATTCCACAACTTAAAGACAATTAAGTAAAAATAATATTGGGTGATTTCAAAAGGTAATTATACCTAACAAGTATTAAAAAAAAGTATACATTTTTTTGTGTTTTTTCCAATGTAAAGTTTTTTTTACAGGCTGACGATAAACATGCATCTTGAATTAGCACTGGAACAAATAGCCGGGTAATTGTTTAACATAATGTCAAAACTAACATTTTAGTAATTTACCAGGTGACTACTAAGATTTATTTTTGGAATCTTGTTAACTTTTTGTCGTATCCAGGCTTTGTGCTACGCTAAGGCAGAAAGTCGAAATATTAATTTTTAAAAGTTTGTATCCCAAGGTATCTGCTTTTCTCAGAGCATTTACAAGTAGTAGGGTTAAAAAATAAAAGATGTCCTGAGAGTGGCATTAGAGAACAATCTCATGGAGCTCTAAGAAGCATAAATGTGCTGAATACAACTCGTACAAATCTTCCCATTATATTTGATAATTATTTTGTATAAGTGAACATTTTGGCCTGATAGTTGCACTTGAGAAATAGTTAGGGGGTCACCACGTATTTAAAACGTTGGAGATGGACCCACTGACCCACAGAGGCATCACTAACATCAGGCTCTGATCCTTTCTATAGGCCAGTAAAAGCAGATCTCATATGGGGAACAAAAGGGAGAAGGAGTAAGGGAGGGGGCCCACCAGGAGTGTGTGTGGAGTGTCTTGTTGGAGGAGACAAAGAGAAGGGCATGTAGGTACCTGCCTCACACACACACACACACACACACACACACACACACACACACACACACACACATTTAAGCCCGCTGTCAACCCCAAACATCCCCTCCCCGGCCCACAGCACTTCAAACATATCCGCCCTCAGCACTGTGTGTTCGTGCGCGTGTGTTTGTGTCTCAAAAGTCTATCTGATGCAGAACCTGAAGCGGAAAATCTGAGGAATGTTGGGAATAGAACAACAGTATTTACTCAATATTGTTATCATCTGAATATACTGGAGTTATGGCTGCAAAAGAGAAGGACACATGATTTGTCTTCACGTAGCATGTGATGATAAGAGCATTAAGCTTTGACTGAAGGCAGATGCAAATAGATGGACTTAGATACAAGTGTCTGGTTTTAACTAAAAGGTGAGGACAGGAAGCTACAGAGGTGCTCTAAGCTAACACCTACGCTAATGCAGGCTACTTTGTTTACCTGTCAGATTGGATTATATTCACATATTCACACTAAGCTATCTATTAAACACAGCATTGAAATAATCCAGCAAGGCGCTCTTTTGGCCTATCAAATAAATCCGGAAATGCTATGTTTGTAGTGTTTGTAGTCTTAAAATATAAAATAGTTGTAACTGTGATAAGTTTCCAGAGTGGTATAATCCTGTCACACATATGAACGCAAAATCTATAGCTTCCCTACAAAGGTTTTCGTAACAAAAGAGTTATGGTTTCTGTTTGTAGTTCAAGGAATTTCGACCAATCACGTTTGAGCGGGCTTTTATGGCATGCAGGTAACAGTTTGTGTGGTGCGCAAAAGAGACTACAATGCAAACTACCTGGAAGCCATCTGCTATCATCTGATGATGATCCACCTTTCTATTAGCTTCTTTATGTATTTGTATTCATATGGAGATCTCGTTTTTTAAAGAAAACGGATGAGATGTATTAATATCCTTTTTTCCGGACTGTTAACAATGATCAGCATTGGAAAAGGTTTTCTTGGCCTGGATGTTTGTGGATATCCTCCTGGCTACACTAAATTCCACAAAACATTGTCCTTTTCTGGTATTGTTGTCAAAGTAGTAAAAACAATTGTACAGGTTGTTGGCATCTCACCTACTCCTAGACTTACTGGATAGTATTACATTGTCTCACTGCCCGTACACGAAGCAACATGTCCCCACAAAGAGTCCCTTGTATTTTTTGAAGGTGGGGCTGTCTGAGCACCCACTATAACATTGAAATACCCAAAACATCAGTTATTAACAAAAAGTCTTAAAAGTAAATCAATCTGAATGAACAGTTTTGTGTTTTAGAGCAAATGCTGGAGGTCAAGCAACCAGTAAAGCATATCATATATACAGGTATTTATATTAACCTGTATTCATTATGTGAGATGATTTTGTGATAGGAAAGTGATTTGAATCAAAGGAACAAATATTGTTCACCTAGTTAAAATTGTGCAATTACGACTCACAATCAAATAACAGTTTTTACGAACATTCGGAAGTGGAGTTCCCCTCTTGTTGACAGTATTACGTAACTTTAATACTATACTTTTGTTATTATCTTAGGGAATAAGAATTTATTTGTTTTTGATGCATTATAGCATATTTTTTTTACATTTGCTTCACTTAGATATTCGCCTTTTATTAGCTATATTATAACTTAACTTTCCCTCATAGTATCATGGGATACTGAGGGCTGCAAAGCATGCACTTATTATGTAATTGCAACCCAGTCTCAAAGCATTTCGTGTAAAAGTCACGAAACTAATCTATTGATTCATGTTCACCAACACCATTTTCTCATTTTCTTCGTGTCACACAGAACGATTTTAAAAGCAAGTTAATAATAACAAATTAGAAGGAAAAACAGAAAAAATACAGATTTCAGTATTCTGAGGCTCTGAGCCCCATTTATTTTCCTCGCGGACTCCAAAAAAAGTCCGACATTATACTATTTAAAATAAAAACTATAATCGTGGCTTGACATTGAGTAAGAAAATCTTTTTATGAACCATTATTTTAAATAGTATAATGTCGGACTTTTTTTGGAGTCCGCGAGGAAAANATCAACATGTGTCCCCTCTTCTCCATGTCTCTTCTACGTCAACATGTGTCCCCTCTGTGGAAAGAGACTCTGAAAGTTTCAGGAACAAAGATTCTCTCTCTTTTTGTCCTGATCCATTTCTATAAAAACCTGTCTGAAAATGAGCTGATCAGATTTTGGCCACTTTATGATGTCATAACAATGTTTTGGCTTGAGTAACCATTAGCCAATCAGCAACCAAGGTAACCCCCCCCCTTATCACCCGAATGTCCTCCTTGAGCACCATTGTGTTCTTTTTAACCAAATCTCTCTCAGAGGGGCATGGGGAGGAGACAGAGAATTAGCACTTTGGAAACAGGGCTGAAACAGAGGGGGTTATGGGTAATGCTGCAATGATCTGTTTGGTGTTTCAGCCAATCAGAGACAGGCTCTGTGTATATCTGAGACCTATAATATATTGATGAAAAACAGTGTAATAGGTGACCTTTAACACATTATATTGAACTCTCTCTCCACAGTGTCACCATGGGTTTGCCTCTCAACCCTCCGGCAGATTCGGCTCGCTCGTCCCGCCACGCCCTCTCTCTCATCGCCACTGCCCGCCCACCGGCCTTCATCACCACCATCGCCAGAGAGGTGAGGCTGAAATGCTCAAACTAATTCACAAACATCCCATACAGCGGCTTCAAAATGTCATCGGCAAGCACGTCTCAAAACACATCTCTTCACACATCCACAATGATCACATCACACATCCTCCATTTTTATTGATTTATTTAGTTTTTAGTTTTGTGTACCTTGTACGGCGACCTTGAGAGCTTTGAAAGGCGCCTTTATAAATAAAATGTATTATTATTATTACACACGTATTGCCTGATTTTTAGTAGTTTCCTCTTTTGGTGTTCCCACTGTTTCCATGTTGACTCTGGTGGAGGGATAGTGTCAAACAGATATAAGCCACTTTCACTTTCTGTGATTACTCTCTAATAAAAGCCTCCATGTTTCAACGTGTATAAATGTTTTTAATTTGAAACTGCAGCAATCAGAAACGTTTGGTTTGTATTCAAAGTAAATTAGTACAGAATTTCTTTATGGAAAGTTGCCATAGACATCCTGATGTGAAAATATAAATATTGTATTACTTTCATCAATAGACCCTGGCTTAGTCACCATTGGGTTACCTCCATCTGCAATAGATAGTGACTAAACAGACATTTATTTTAACTGAAAAGGTTTATAGATATTAATCAGTTATTGTTTTGGTGTTGGGATTAAAATGCAGGTATCATATTGGTGGTCGTTTGAAAAAATCTAACATAAGACACACACTCTGAAACCATGCACAGCCAACTGAGAAACAGAATCCCGTATTGTTCTTGTGTGTTTCTCTTTGAGTCATGTCTCTCATAAACTCTTTCAATATTTCTGTTTTCCAGGTTCATCGCTTCAACGCAGCTCAGGCCAACTCTCAGTCGCAGCAGAACGTTCACACCACCACTCTGGCCCGAGCCAAGACTGAGATACTGCGAGTCATCGAGATCCTGATCGAGAAGATGCCCGGAGACGTGGTGGATCTGCTGGTCGAGGTAAACGTTAACAAATAATGCATGTTTTATGGGTATGGGCAATCTGAGTGAAACAAACCCAGTTGCATATTTGAGGTTTAAGAAATGGTTACCAAAATCTCTTAAAAGCGTTCTATTCTTGTTCTATTAAAAAACCAACACAGCCATAATGGAAACCGTGACCTCCTATTCCTTGCCTCCTTCTCTCCTCCTCCACTCATGTCTTCTTTTCTCTCTCCACCTCCTCTTCTGCAGGTGATGGATATCATCATGTATTGTATTGAAGGCTCTCTGGTGAAGAAGAAAGGACTGCAAGAGTGTTTCCCTGCTATTTGCAAGTAAGTGTCTATGAGTGTGCTTACAAGCCCCCATGTGTCCTTATTAGATCTGTAGGGGGTTTCATCGGAAAGGAGTTAGGGAAAGGCGACCTCTTGGTGTCAAAGATACAGACATCAACTTCAAGGCAGGTGGCTTTGATTCGTCATGATTCATCTACACCTGTCTGCTAAATCCACTAGAGTTTCAAAACAAAAGTAAGAGGAGAGAAATAAATGTTGGGGATTATAACTTCCATGTTTCTATTTCTAGTAGCATAACCAACCCTTACCCATGTGTTCTGATAAAGACATATCCAAGCAAAGACCTTAACTGTTATGGAAAGGAAAACAAGATGGAATATACTGTAGTCCTTGCTGTTTGTGAAAGCAACTTTTTTAAGAAACTTGAAATGGACATTTTAACGCATTTTAGAAAGGGGAGATTCTACTCTGGCACCCCCTACTGGCCGGCAGAGAGGGATATCATAAAAATGCAGTCATCTTTCTCTTCTACCCAAAAAAGCGACATCTTTACACAATCAAACAGTTTCTTGACTGTTCAACATAGATAGATATTTCTAGAAAGTGTTGGTTTATGTGTTTGCAATCGTATCGAATCGAATGCTTAGCTTAAATACTGTATTCCAGTTGTTTCTTGTGGTTTAGTTTTATGGGAACGAAGGTTAAGACAGCTCGATTGTTAAGATCTTCTTTCATTCTGTGCTAATTATTTGGATGGTTCCCACTTCAATGTGTATGTATTAACGTTTGTTTGTTGTTCAGGTTCTACATGGTTGGTTACTGTGACCGCAGTCACCGCATCGCTGTTGGAGCTCGCCAGGGATCAGTGGCCCTCTACGATGTTCGCACCGGAAAGTGCCAGGTACTTTTAAAACTCTACACTTCTCATCTTAATTAGTTTGGTTCACAACAGGAAGGGAACGCTCAAGCAGCTGAATACATTCTGATGAAACCAAAGTCAGGATTTCAGCTGGTTGCCAGACTCATCCATCCATCCTTCCATCCATCCATCCATCCATCCATCTATTAATCCATTCATCATTCAATCCATTCAATATCAATGCTCCATCCATTCAACCTTCCATCCATCCATCCATCTATCCATCCTTCCATCCATCCATCCACCCACCCATCCATCCATCCATCGATCTATCCATCCTTCCACCCATCCATCCACTCCATCCACCCATCCTTCCACTCCATCCATCCATCCATCCACCCATCCTTCCTTCCTTCCATCACTCCATCCACCCATCCATCCATCCATCCACCAACCCACCCACCCATCCTTCCTTCCATCCATCCATCCATCCACCCACCCATCTATCCATCCATCCACCCATCCTTCCATCACTCCATCCATCCATCCACTCCATCCACCCATCCATCTATCCATCCATCTATCCATCCATCCACCCACCAACCCGTCCATCCATCTATCCATCCATCCACCCACCCATCCTTCCTTCCATCCATCTATCCATCCATCCATCCACCCATCCATCCATCCACCCATCCATCTATCCATCCTTCCACCCATCCATCCATCCATCCACCCACCCATCTATCCATCCATCCACGCATTCATCCATCCACCCATCCATCCATCCACCCATCCATCCATCTATCCATCCTTCCACCCATCCACCCATCCATCCATCCATCCATCCCTGAACTGAACAACCCAATCATTCCTCAATTATTTCATCCATCAACCTGTCATTTTAAGTTCTTCCATATATCATCAAAACT